AATCCCGAAAAGTGTCTTAGGAGGAACCTCCGAGAGAAGTTTATTTTTAGTCTGAATAGATTTACGAATTCCAGTGGTAATCCACGGCTTTGAAAAACATTTAACTTTACGTCGTGAGATAGGTTTAAAGGGGGCATGTTTATTGACTATTTTATTTAGTTTGTTGTAAAAAGACAAAAACAGCTTATTGACGTTCGTTTCGTTATCAGGAGGAGAGGAAAGTGTTTCAAAATTCAAAAGAACGCTTGATGGTTGATGATGGACAGAGGCTACCAACACAATTTGAAAGACAAATTGCAATCAGAAATAAATGAAACTCACAGAAACCGAAGTTCGCCCTCCTGAAACAAAACCGAGCAGGGAAGGAAAAGAAAAGTTGACTTTCGTGACACAATAGGGAACTTAAGAACCACGACGAAGTTCACGACAACGACGTCTGTTGACTGGGAAACGACTGGAACGAGAACGTCAGTTTCGGCAGGAAAAAGGAAACTTAAGATGCAATCGGTCGGTAGGTCGACGACGACGACACTGAATGTAAACACAAATGTAAAACTGTGATGTTCGTTCGCAACAAAGTTTTTCGCAATGGCGTCTTTTAAAACAATGCAAGATCTAATTTTTAAGCCGTACGTCTAATGTCATTGACGATGGAGAATTTTTTGTGTTGTCTGACCTTTTCGAGTGGAAAAACACCTGCTTTACGCTCAAAGAATATTCAACTTTCAACCTGAATGAGATGACCGAGTCCGAGTGTCTGTCAGAGTTTAGATTTGGAAAAAGAGACATTCTGATGTGATAGCTGTTTTCCATATAAAGTTTATTTCCTGTATATTAAAGATATATGATTTGCCTTACCTAAATACGTACAACTAAATTTCTCACTTACGAGTTCGCTCGCTCGGCCTCCACAGCTGTTGTCATTCTTCGAAGTAAAAACAATTCATTATAGTATACTTTTAGTTCTCATAGCCAACAACATCACGTCTTAAGGTGGCTCGATATAGTTTTTCAGGGTGAATACCTCCCAAGTTTGAGCATAAACTACGTCGCCATAAACAATGTTTTGGAAAAATTGCCACCACAGTTGTATTACGTGAAGATGAAAATTTGTTATGATCAGGGTTGCAACGGCATCGGAGTTGCCATAGCAGCAGTATATCTCAGCACTGGGAACTGTTCTTCGAAAATCATTCACGGGAGCTTATTCCTCCAATAGCAGCCTCGATGTTCGTGAAGTTTAAGCGAAATCTGTAAGAGCGTTATAGAAATACTTTGGGATAAAGATTTTGTGCTTAGAAATACGGTAAAAAATGGACAATCTTGGTGTTCGGCTGTTATCTGTAGAAAACCAAGCGCTTTTGACTTGCAATTTCACCTCATAGTAGTTTCAATCTTTTTAAAAACGTGTGTAAAAGATTAAGGAGATAGCTCCAGCCGATTGCTAGAAAGAAGGTCGCGGCAGGGTAATTCGCGCCTGAGAAGTAGCCTGCGTGGCAGGCGCAAAAAGGGGAGAGAGGGAGGGGTGGGAGAAAGGCGCGAAATTCAATCTCCCAAATCTCCCTCCCTTTCTCCCTTAATCCCTATCCCCTACCCTTTCGACGCCAGCTACGCAGGATACTTGAGAAGTTGAAGTCGAAAGCAAGCACACAGGCAAAGGAGGCTTTCAATTTATACACGTAGATTTGACACCTAGAATTTGCGTAGCGGTGCCCACACTATAATGTTAAACTCACTTAATTTGCCGAAATACTCTCCAGTTTCCGCAAAAGAAAGCTCAGATGTTAATTATCAATTCTTAACTTACCTCCAAAGAGTTTTAAAACAGCAAAAACAATCCTCTACAGGGCTGTATTTGAATTACAATTAAATCTTTTTTTAATTTTAAGTCTTTACATTTTTGACTCTAGAAATTTATTTTGCGATAAGGTAGACGTGGCCTTATAGATTGCATATCTGTACGAATTCGGACATGTTTTTTATACTTCCATATATTTTTAAACCGATCAGCCTTTCGCCGTCCACACGAAACCATCCAGTGATGCGGGCCCACCGAAATCGCTTTTTTTTTAAACCTTTCTCCCGGAAAAGAAAACCGTCCAACAGTTTAATATGGAAATAATCGAAATATTGTGGACAAGGCCTAAAATACTTGAAAGAAAAAAAAAACGAGAACAATGAACAAAGGCCTACGCGTTTTTTATCATTTATTTGATGGTTTAACATCATGCATGTTGTTCTGATCGCAATCCGTTATGGTAAAAAAGGAACAAATATGTAAATCATTAACTTCACAGGTTTTTTTTCAATACAATAGATTCTCATTAATTCTTGCGAGTACCAAAATAGAATAATGAGTCAACTTCATTCACCCATGCGCAAATAACCCTTAATTGATTTTTGAAATTTCTTAACGGCTTATCGTAGTTTCCAGCTAGTCTCTCCTGAACAATCATGGATCGCTTGTGTTTAACGATGCGTGATGAAAGTTACTGCTGCTAAAGCCGTTCGTTCTATTGCAAGGTATAACATTTGAACTGTACCAGAAACGCTGTGAAGAAATTCTGAGGTATGTTCAGTTTTTCCTTTTTCTTTTTCCTCAGTTTCGAGTTATCAGGCTACCGCAAGTAAAATTCAGTCGTTGAAGGATAAAGGAACTTAACGAAGGCATGCATGATCAGCTTATGGTAGAAAAACAAACAAGAGATTTGAAGAGGTACCTATCCAAGTAAGAGGTCACCTTCACGCGGACAATCATAAAGTGACAGAAGAATATAAAAGGCTTTAATATGGTGACAGAAAACTTGGTTAGTTTCATAGGATACCTGAGGTTACTATAACTTCATCACACGGTTATATTAGACCCGGCCACGAGTTGAAGTATGTCTTTCTCTGGACAATATTTGCTACCGAGTGATACATTAGGCAATAATAATTAGTTTTACGTGCATTGTCCCAATGACCAAACAGAGTACTTTATAAAGTTGTTATTACTTTAATTACTTCAAAAATGGGACATGGCTGTTAGAGGATAAAAAGTAGAAATTATAATGTGACAAGTTCCCTTCTTAGCCTGCAACCATTTACTAAAATTGAAAATCATTCCCTTTTTCCCTTACTGACGAGAGTCGTACAGATCTTAGTTTTCATTGCACTGTTTGGTTATCAACGCTTCAAACCAATTCTTTTTTTTTTTTCAAAGTGTCTCGGCCAAATAAAGCATTTAGGAGGCACTAAGGCCCGAGGACAGAATTTTTAAGATGTATACTTAGCGTACTTGTCGTTTTTATTCCAAATGAATCAAGAAAGAAATAAAAATAGTACTCGAATTCGAAATGCATTTTAAGAATCTTTTTGTTTGTGTCCTAATCTAAGTAATGATGACATAATTTCTGCTTAAAGGCCAGGTCTGAAAACGGGTATGGATTTTAGAAGCCAGGTCTGAAAGCAGGCGTGGAAAGTGACATTTTTTGGCCTGAAATAGGGTCAGGATTTGAAGAACCGGGATTTTCTTCCGGTCGCTTTAGGGTAGTAAATAATGCAAAAAATGGCCGAGGTTTAAATAATAGGGCTACACGGGAATCACAAGAGAGATATTCAGCTTGCTTTTTTATTGGGTACGTTGATTTTCTCAGTACATATTTTTGTTTTGTTTACTCTATTTAGGTAACTCAATCTAAGAGAAGTGCAGTCATAAGTTGATCAAAAAGTGCGACCCAAAACGAAATGCATTTAAAACGTAAGTGCCTGTAACAACACCTCCACTCTCCTTAGCTTACCCTCATCTTTCTCTTTCCTTTAATACAATTCTTACAACTTACTTCAATGAATTCCCAACTATATGCCTTACTAGCTCAGTCCAACACGTAAGACAAAAACGGGAGTCTGATTGACCCGGCTTTGAGTTAGATAATGTAATATTAATGCCGGGTTAGGGATTTTATACTAGCTAGGGCCAGGAGACACGGCCTGTGTTAATTAGGTAATCACTGATTTCAAAAACCTAAGACGATAACATTTTGACTGCCCGATAAAGACTATTTCAAGAAATCATATCTTTAACTAATTTTTTGTCATGTTCACTCTTGTAGGTCACAATCTAACAGAGGTACAGTCATTAATTGTTTAAAAAGCAGTGAAAAAGTGCGGACCCAACTTAACTGGGAGATTTTGAAAAAGTAAGTGCTTTTAACAACCCCGACCCCATCTTTCTTTGGTGCTTCAATGAATTACGTCTACTCAGGATCTTGGCTGTTAAAGTTACTACAAAATGGCAAATGGCTCATTTGGTAACTCGATCTTTTTGTTCTTTTCTTTTTGCGCAGTAGCATCCAGGCGAACTCAAAATCATTCAAAATCGCTGAAATACCACGTTTGAGGCAAAAGGACAACAATATACCGTAGGTAAGGTAATACAACGTTTATTTAACACTGATCTATATATAGTTAGCGATATATTGCTACAGAAAGATGCAGTAGCAGTAAACTATGAATCCAAGTCATTCACCAAAAAACAGATTGTGTGGGTGCCCTGTGGTATATCCTACAAAGGAATCCTCGTCCCAGGGTCTACTGGTGTCCCGGCCAATATGGCGGCGCAGGGTGGATGAATCTTCCATCAATCACAGAGTCAGTGTAGCAATGTAAACTTATTTAGGCCTATAAAGTACCTAAAACAATCTCGAGAAAGGACTCTGCAATGTAAAAACCAAAATACTAAACAAGTCAAAAGAATTAGAAGGTCTGCAGGGCCGACATAAAGGTAAGCTCAACAGTAACTGTTGACAAAATTGTTACTAAAACATGGAACGACCTAAAACCACCTAAAACCACCTAAAACCATCTCCAACCACCTACAACCACCTCAAAAAATTCAACAACCACCTACAACTATCTACAACCACCTCAAAAACATCTACAACCACTCACAAACAATCTAAAACCATCTAAAACAGGGTATAAATGTCTGAAATAAGGCGAGACGACAACATGTCACGTACATGAAATACGAGAATCGGACAAAACATCCACTTCCCGCTAAAATCTTACTCTCGCTGGTCCCTTGTATCATCAACCATTGGCTTAACACAAAACTAAGAAATAAGAAGCGCGCATATCCCATCACTCCCAAGAAGAGGGCTGGGGTGAAAAATAGGTTCCAAAACATAATAAAGGTATATAAAAATCCAGGTAAATTACTTTTAATACAATCATTCATTATTAAAATTTTTCAACCCATTTTCATTACTTTCGGCTCGTCTTAACTTGTTTTCTTCTGAATCTATTGCATTATAGATTTTTTAAATAACATTTTTAACAATGATTACACCTACTAGTCTCCGTTTCCCGTGTCGTAACGCAAGGGAGTTTAGCCTTGCGTGATGACACAGGAAAGCACAGGGTCCAGAGGAGATGTATTTGTTATTAGAACAGCAAAACCCGTCGAAAACCCCTGAAAAAATGGGTTATTTATGATCATTCTAAAGACCGACGGCCTTCGGTCATCCTTCGGGCGAGGTGCCGTGTGCCAGCGAGGATATGGCTTGCGGTTATTGATTTTCAAAAGTCGATCTGGGTCAGATAAGAAGCGAAGAAATCGATTACAGTAGATTTATAAAGATCCTATTGGGCTAATTAATTGTGCTAAGCGATAGGTATAGACATTTTTCAAGGTGAGACTTTAAATAAGTAATTCATTTGTTCACACGAAACTCCTCTGGACCCTGTGAAATGTCAGTATCGATTTGAAATAAAAGGATTGATCTTTGATTGCAAGTTAAGTATTCTATTTTATGCATGAATAATGTTGTTTTGTTGTGCTTTTTATTTATAAATCCAGGCTTCTGTCTTCAGTTTTGCCAGTCGATCCCGTGACACACATTATGACAAAACATGACTTTTTTTGTTATAATCTGCATTTATTGCCAGGCATGAAACCTGTAACTTTAAGCTCCCTAAGATATATTTGGCGATTATATGTGATTCTCAGGATATGATGCTGACGAGAACATCAAAATCAGTCTCGCTGGGCATGCCAATTTCTTGCCTGGCATGCCGGGCATGCCAAACCAAGTGGCTTCACCATTGGCATGCCCGGCATGCCAAACCAGAGGAGCAAAAACTGGGAATGAATTATCAACCCGGTGAGAGATCTGGGACCTAAGGTTGGCTGGGTCAATTTTGGGCTGCGAGGGCATGAACCCATTTTTTCCATGCCTATGAGATGTTATTTCTAAGTACCAATGTTCCCTTGAATTTTGTCATGCCTAAATATATAAAATTTTCCCTCTCTCATTAATCCTCAGACTGGATGCGATTGTTACGCTCGCTAGGCATGTTCAACTGAAAATTATGCCCATACCCTTATTCAAAACAAAATGCTATCAAATTTTAGTTTCCAAGCCGTTCTTTTTTCAACACACGTGGATGGGGACCGTCTGGGCCAACGGTGTCGATTGGCGCCATGAGTGGATGACAACGCGCTGTCTGGACATCTGTTGATTAATGCTGCCTCTGCAATGTGTGAAAGCTTCATTGGACCAGTTTGGGAGAAAAACTCTTGAATTGTTTATTTGACAATTCTACTTTGCAGATGGGTCAGTGAACACTAAGTCTCCTGATTTCAGAGAAGTAATGGCAGTTTTGTCAGTAGGTGCGTGTGGACCAGAAGCATTTATTGCAACTCGAGCCTATGCTGCTGCAGCAGATGACCATCATCATCTGATTCCTCAAACATGTTGTTCACGTAATCACGTAATTTTTTGGACTTCTTTCTTCATGGACTTGTGATGTTTAATATCTTACTGAAGGGTAGTGCGTTTTAGTAGTTCTATCCGCTACCTTGTAGAAGTAGTACCTAACTGAAGCGCTGCTGTGCGTGTCGATCTCTTGGCTTCTGCGGTATTTGATTCATAATGCTGTGGGTTTATCCGGTTGAAGAACCTTCGCTCACAGCAAACCATTTTTTTGAATTCACTTTTAAAGATAGGATTCATTCCTGCGTATATAAAAGGATTTATTGTATTTGACAGATAAATAAAGAAACTAGTAAGGAGGTCAATATTTCGTGGCATCTTCTCGACGACATGGAAGCGCCCTACAACAACGATCACCCAAAATGGAATCCAGCATATCATGAACGCGAACACAACCACAAAGAGAGACTTACTCAGCTTCAGTTCTTGCACGGTGATGTTTGAGCCTGTTGCGGCCCTGTGAATCGTAGATGACATAACGTCATTGTGCTGTCGGATCATCTTTGCAACCTTTATGTAGCTGAATATTGTTGTTATTAACGATGTTAAGAGGAACAAACTGAGGACAATGGTATAGTGAATGATTTTTCCACTTTCACTGAGATGAGCTACAGCGCAAGTGGCATATCCTGGAACGAACTCATAATCTTGGAGACCAGCTAACTTAGGAACTACACTGTAGCAAGCAATGAAGAACCATGCACATGCCATCCAGGTTCGTGACTTCCTCGGTGAAAAAAATTTCTTGTATTGCTGCTCAGACTTACAAATCCTCATATACCTGTCAAACGCTGTTAAACCCATAGTGACGGGTGATACGTACACCACAAATCCATCAAAAAAGGAATGAAAGTAGCAGATCACTGGGCCATAAACCCATTCGCCTGTTATAAGCACACCCAATGTAAGAGGCATGACAAATATAGCGGACATCAAATCACTTACAGCAAGTGCGATGATAAAAAGGCTTGTTTTTCTGCGTAGTCGTGTGTTCTTGTAAACTGCAATGCACACCATTATGTTCCCGGTTAACGATAGAACGTTTGAGATCACAAGAAAGAAGACTTCCACGCTTGTTAAAAAGAAACTGCGATTGCCTAGAGCATCCGCCATTGTGGCTGTTCTCACAGAGACTTTCTAAGAAAAGAAGAAAACCGTAGAAAGCAACACAGAGTCGGTTGTGGCTTTAAGATCACGAGCGGTTAAATTGTCTATCTGCCAGTTTATTAGTTACCCTTTGTCTACGACACTTAAACTAAACAATTTGAATAAATTCATTATTGCAGGTTGTATCCTCTTCTCAGGTTTTGTTAGCTCTTCCACCTGTTAATTTTTTTAGAGCTGAGGCAATGTCACTTGATAGAAGACAAGTTTACGGACGACGGTTTCAGTTTGGCTTTAATTTGCCATTTCATAATTTTTTCCGTTTGAAGTATTACAAGTGGTAACCGTACTGTTAAAAGGGGTGTGTATGATGATAATGATAATAACAATATGATAATGTTAATCATAATATAATAACGTGGCCCAAATTTCTTTAACCTACTTTCTTTTCTGCTAACACTGAGTTCGACAAGTAAGTTAAAACAGGTGAAACTATAGTTCTGTTTTATTTTGGTAAGTTAAATGTGACACTTTTCCATAAGAACTGTACAAACGTAATATCGATCACAGCACTTTGAATTGTTAAATTTGACACTGAAAGTCGGGGATACGTAAGGAAAGAGAAACAAAATATAACCCACCATGACTTGCGTTTTGAAAAAAGAAGTGTCACTAGGGAATTCGGGCATTACCTCTACCTAAGGGAAGCTCTCCATTTGGCCCTGGTTGTTCAATGTTGGATAATAGCGCTATCCACTGAATAGATATTTATCCAGTGGATAGAGTTATCCACCTTTTGAACAACTAGGCCCTGGGGGAGGCCCTAGGGGGCTATCGTGAGAAGTCACGCGCAACATACATACATAGATAGTCTTTTAAACCTCGGACGTACAACAACCCACCCATCCCCCCACCCCACGAGGTTTTTATGAATTTTTTCTCGCAGACGATCAAACATCAGTACCTGACGTTATTAGCAGCTGTTTTTTCAACCCTCACACCCATTTTGAGACACGTTTAGTAATAATCAGTTACTATGGTTACTAGATATGACGTCATAAGTAGAAGGTGATCAAGCCATTTCGGAGTGAAAATGCATGTTTTTCAACTTGTTTCAACGATAAAAGTAAAGCTTTTGGATAAAGTAAAGCAAAACACTTATGAATGTGTTATTTTACTTATCAACCACAAGAGTGAATGGGGTTAGCCGACTAGCGCCGACAAAGGGCAAAAAAATATTACCGACTACCGACAAAACGCGAAAAAAATTATCGACTAACGACAGGAAAATTATTAACCGACTACCGACATGGACCGACATTATCTATATTTTTTTCAGAAAGAAGAGTATATTGTATTTTTTCCAACTTTTCTAGGAAGTAACCAAAGATACCACGTCACAAGTCTTTTTACAAGTCAGTACCACAAAACGAGGATATTGAAACGGTTTATAGAGCGTATGCCAAAAATTTCTGCAACCCACCTAGTTATAAACATTGTATGCGACAAATGCTTAGATTAATCCTAAAAAAAATTTTTTCCAGTTCAATGGAAAGCTCTACCTCCAAACCCACTGTACCGCGATGGGCACAAAGACAGCAGTTTCCTCTGCCAAAATTTTCATGTCATATATTGAAACAAAAAGTCTAAGCAGCTAAACCGTCTTTAAACCAGACATCGTAACTTTCTTCGAAGAAGCAAACTTACATGATCCTACTGTTAAATTCACCACCGAAATTCACTAAGACAATGCTTTAAGACACAGTTGTTTACAAAGGCACAAGATTAAACGAAAAAGTTATCCTTGATGTAAAGACTACGGAAACCTTCCATTTGTCAAAAGAGTTTGAGGAAAGTGTTAAAAATTCAAATGAACGCTTGATGGTTGATGATGGACAGAGGGTACCAACACAATTTGAAAGACAAATTGCAATCAGAAATAAATGAAACTCACAGAAACCGAAGTTCGCCCTCCTGAAACAAAACCGAGCAGGGAAGGAAAAGAAAAGTTGACTTTCGTGACACAATAGGGAACTTAAGAACCACGACGAAGTTCACGACAACGACGTCTGTTGACTGGGAAAAGACTGGAACGAGAACGTCAGTTTCGGTAGGAAAAAGGAAACTTAAGATGCAATCGGTCGGTAGGTCGACGACGACGACACTGAATGTAAACACAAATGTAAAACTGTGATGTTCGTTCGCAACAAAGTTTTTCGCAATGGCGTCTTTTAAAACAATGCAAGATCTAATTTTTAAGCCGTACGTCTAATGTCATTGACGATGGAGAATTTTTTGTGTTGTCTGACCTTTTCGAGTGGAAAAACACCTGCTTTCCGCACAAAGAATATTCAACTTTCAACCTGAATGAGATGACCGAGTCCGAGTGTCTATCAGAGTTTAGATTTGGAAAAAGAGACATTCTGATGCTATAGCTGTTTTCCATATAACATGAGGATCCGCAAGAGACTTTTTTTTGCGATCAGAATGATTTCTTAGTTGCTACGGACGCTTTGTTTTCAAAAGGTGACATGAGAATTTCCTGCTGTGGGAATTCAATTAGTACATTAATTTCTGGCCAAAAAACGTAATCCGATAAGGTGTCAACCCGGTCATATGCCACCACAGTAGTAATCCTTTTGAAAGCTCAGAACGTGTTCAAGATAGTAAAAACCAGATGAAAATACAACGCTATCCATTATAAAAATTTAAATAAAGCAAAATTAAAACGATTTTGCTTATAGTAAAGTGTATGCCTTGCAAAACCTTCAAGTTGCGTTCTAGATAATTTTTTGCCAGATTTCAGCACGAGGAATCCACCCGCCAGGACGCGCGGACAGCAATGATCAAGAAATAAAGCGGAAGAACGAATTGTCTTTTCAAAAATATATTTTCCCTTTCAAACTGAAATGCTTCAAGGCTAAACGAGATTTTGCCTATTGCGACTGGCCGGTGCTATCCCACGATAGCCGATCTGTAGCGAAGACACGGAGTCCAGTGTAAATATTGAGCCGCTTTTTAGGCATGCGGTTGCCTGCAGTTTTTATTTATGCGTCGTAATGTCAAAACAAAGAAACAAATCAGCAAGTCGAAAAAAGGATTGTGCAAGTAAAAGTATAACCCATCCTACAATGGAATTAATTGGATTTTACTTTATATGGTATGCTTTTGGTATCTCGCGCTAGATCTGCCAGGATACTTTGTCAGAAGATTCCTGAGAGTGAGAGCCACGAGTGATGGCGGTGTACATGTTGGACGATCCTCGTCTATTCTATTGCGCCGGGTTTTGTTCTCCTTCGCTGGATACCGAAAAGACTTGGTATCATTGCTTTGAATTCCAGCCTATGTAATGGAAAGCTATGCATGTTTGGCTCCTCCGATTCAGTCAAGAGTTTTAGCGAGGAATTTAAGCAATCTGACAAGATGGCGTTCTTGCTTGTATGAGTTGGTTCTCCGTGCCGTCGATGGAGGGGGCTTTTTGGTCCGCTGTCGCTCGATATCATTCGCCACAAGTCCTTTAGCTAAATCCTGTTTCTAGAAGCGGATTTCAAGAGGTGGACGACTGGATCAGTTCATTTTGATTCAAGGGTTCTGTCCATTGGCGCCAAAATCGAATAGTCCGCCAATTCCCCAAAATAGCCCGCCAATCCAAAATCTCTGTACACATCCTTCACTCAGGAAACAACCAAGTAGCAATGGGTATGACTCGCCTTTATTAAATAACAAAGTCAGTATACCGACTTGCATAGCAAATTGTGAGAAATGAGGTCAGTTAACCAGTTTATTGTTTGTTGAAATATCATTTTCTTGTAATTATTGTGGGACATAATTTTTGAAGCCCATTGTTTCTCCCTTATTAAATTCAATTTTTTCTCCTTTCACTTTAATTCCTGTCACTTTTCAATGGCTAATAATGTTTTTTTTTTTCTTCATAAAGGCTGATCTCAGAAACTGTTTTGCAAATGTGATTAGGCATACAGAGGTCTTAAAGAAAATTTAAATTTTTTTGACAGAAAACACTACAATTATGTTTGTTTAAGGGGTGACATTTAACTTTAAGAAGAAATTCTTCTGTTTCATCTATCTTTGTGTATTCAAGAGTGGGTGTTTAATAATGCCATGATGTTCTGCGACTCCTAAGTGCAAATTGTGAAATGCAACAGAACACTAGGTGTGTCGCCCATGTTTCTGTGAGGTAGAAATTCATGGCATTATTAATCCACCTGCAAACTTATCTAATAGTCATCTTGAGTGAGTAGGTTTTTGATAATGCCATGATGATCTGCGACTCCTAAGTGCAAATTGTGAAATGCAACAGAACACTAGGTGTGTCGCCCGTGTTTCTGTGAGTTAGAAATTCATGGCATTATTAATTCACCTGCAAACTTATCTAATAGTCATCTTAAGTAAGTAGGTTTTTGATGATGCCATGATGTTCTGCGACTCCTAAGTGCAAATTGTGAAATGCAACAGAACACTAGGTGTGTCGTCCGTGTTTCTGTGAGTTAGAAATTCATGGCATTATTAATCCACCTGCATACTTATCTAATAGTCATCTTCAGTGAGTAGGTTTTTAATAATGCCATGATGTTCTTCGACTCCTAAGTGCAAATTGTGAAATGCAACAGAACACTAGGTGTGTCGCCCGTGTTTCTGTGAGTTTGAAATTCATGGCATTATTAATTCACCTGCAAACTTATCTAATAGTCATCTTGAGTGAGTAGGTTTTTGATAATGCCATGATGATCTGCGACTCCTAAGTGCAAATTGTGAAATACAACAGAACACTAGGTGTGTCTCCCGTGTTTCTGTGAGTTAGAAATTCATCACATTTTTAATTCACCTATAAACTTATCTAATGGTCATCTTAAGTGAGTAGGTTTTGGGAATGGGTTTTTGACATTATACTTCTCACACTGACAATCGGTCATTTAGAAAATATTGTTGTTTGCAGTTACACTGGATCATAAAGGGTTGTTATTGATAATGGCATGAACTCTATGCTATTCTGTTTGTCCTTTCTGTTGAGTTTTGTATCTTTTTCTGTGCATTTAGGATATGGCTGGATTCTATTGCGTTTTGCCTTAAACTGCAGGGGAATGAACAAGTAATAGTTTTCCTTAGTATTGAAACATGTATTTATTAACCTAGTATTATCATTTTAACAACTACCAACCTTTAGATGTTCCAGAAGGCTTTGTTCAAGCAATAGCCCTTGAAGAGCAAAAATCAACCGGAGGCTAAAAGCTTTTCGCTCATATGAAAACTCATATCATAAAGATTTAAAAATGTAGAAACTTTTGAAATCTAATATTAAGCAATCCTTTTTCTTAACTTTGACCATTTTTAAGCTTGTGACTGCAATCTTGGCAGGCATAATACTTTAATACCTACAGAAAAAAATGGCGCTCCAGTTCAAAGACTCACTTGTTCCAAGAAAAACTTAATGGACTGCATCAGCGTCTAAGAAATGATCTTGAGAAAAAACAAAAGAAACTAAAATCTTTATTTTTAGAACTAATGATAATTACCCAATATACATGGACCATCTTCTTGACCTCGAAATGTATGTCGCGGAAAAAATAAGATTCGCTCAGTAAAAGTTTAGAACGCTCCACGCGCGGCATAGTGACCAACGCGCGACAAAGAAAACCCCTGTTGTTCAAGCAAACTCTAAGGACCTCTAAGGTCACGTCTCACATTATTACTAGTTTATAAGTCGTGTTTATTTCAAACAATTAAGAGAGTTTTTCTAGACTGTTTGCAGGCCGCCTTTTTTTGCATAGACCATTTTCATGACCGCTAAATGTAAGTCTCAGTGCGGCGGTAAAAATACAATTTTAGAACGCTCCATGTGCGGCATGGTGACCAACGCGCGACGAGGGAAAGAAGGAAAACCCCTGTTGTTCAAGCAAACTCTAAGGTCACGTCTCACAACATTACGAGTTTTTATGTCGTGTTTATTTCAAACATTTAAGAAAGTCTTTCTGGACTGTTTGCAGCCCGCCTTTTCTCTTAAAATCTGTTTAGTTCTTATTCCAGCTAGCGAGATTGTAAACAACAACTTTAGAATAGAGAATTTACCCTGGGTGCCAGAGACTTTCCATGCCCGCGCTTTCCGTTTTCGGCCAAAGCTTTTCAGTGAAATCAGTGAAGGTCGAGACGCCCGCATTTAGCAGTTCGCGGCTCTGTGAAGGGAAATAATAGACTGCTCGCAGTTTATAGTCGTTCAAGCAACGAGGCCTTCCGTTGGCAAAATAAATATTGTACTAAAACATTTTGCGTTAACCTTCGCAAACTGACTAAAGAATTCTATGTAAGATTTGGTTTCGGAATAATTGTTACGGCGTGCATTTAGTTTTCCTCGCTTTTAGCCAAATATTTCACTCACAAGAAAGATAGTTTTTAACTCGGCATTTGCAGCTCACACGCAAAATTGTTCACGCGTTTTACTCGCCGTTTGTCGCGGCTTGCTTTGAAAGGTCCCACGAGTTTTTTTCTGTGTTTACATTGAGTGCAATGAATCAAATTTCTAATTAATTGGGTTAAGCTGTCAAACGATGACTTGTAAATAAAATGAAACATTCAGTCGTGATGATTTAGAGAGGATCGTATTCTATGAGTTGTCAACACGTCTTTTGTTTTACATTGCGCAATCGGTCATTTCAGATGACCGACTTCGCAGATCTCTAAGTCTTGCGGGTCCTCATGTTTATTTCCTGTATATTAAAGATATATGATTTGCCTTACCTAAATACGTACAAATAAATTTCTCACTTACGAGTTCGCTCGCTCGGCCTCCACAGCTGTTGTCATTCTTCGAAGTAGAAACAATTCATTATAGGCTTGGCGCACGCTACTGGTGTACACGAGCGTAACACCGTGCCTTACGCACGATTCGCGCTCAAGAAAAGGCACGGTTTTTGTGCCAAAGCACGGGGAAAAAAACATGCAAAGGCACAGATTAGGCACACTTTAGGCACAGTTACGGCACGTTTTAAATATTGCTAAGGCACACTTTTGGCACCGTTTGGGCACAGTTTTGGCACGGTTTAGGGACGGTTTGGGCACAAATATTCAACGCTGGGCACTTTTTTGAAAATCTTTGTAACCCGACTTGCAAAAAAGAACAAACTTGGTACGAATTACAAAAATAATTCAGATCAAACACGATACAGTTAGAAGTATAGGAAGTGTAAGTTTTGAGCCGCGCCGAAAGTCTGGAAAATTAAAGTATTCTTCGACAGTCCGTGTTTACTCCGAGGATAAAGTGGAAATTCACACGCGGTATATGCCCGTCTGAACCTTTTCGATTGCCATGCAATTTTATAGACTCGCTTTCTTTCGTTTCTAAAAGAAATCGTGAAAGAAAGTCGAAGCCATAATAACAAAAACAAAGCTAAAGAAGTGAGGCACAAAAATAGCCAATAAAAGTCGTAGAAAATACTTTTTGCGATCGCGGTAAAATTGGCCTGAATTTGCATAACAACATGAAAAGTACAGAGTGGTAATTTGAAACCTTCATGCCAACGCGTGTTATTTTTAAATACAAAATGCGGCTGGTTTTTAAAAATATTTCTCTAACTAAAAAAGTAGGATTTACACTGTAGTAAGATAATTCAAGCTGCTTGTTTGTTTTTGTTTTCTGGCTCTGTTAGCAAATTAAGCTTTGATCGTATAATAATCGATGAGACGTGCATTTATTTCATCAAAACTCATCGGCGTGCAATCAATTTTTTCGTTTTCATTTTGTAAGTCATATCACAAGTAAATTCTTTTTTTGAATGCAAATCTGCCCTCCTGAAAAAAACAAATATTTTGTTCCAACTAAACGCTCCATTAAGAAGGGGAGAAGAAACCTACTAGGAAATTTTTTAACATCGATGAAATTAGCATAATATCAACAATGTAATAGCGCTTTATACTATTACTAAAAATAGGTTTTGTCACCTTGGACGCCCCGCGTGACTAGGACAAACTTTGCATTCTACTCCAAGGCTTTGTATGGGAAACATACGTTTCCGACATGAAAACTGTTCATAAAATTCGCAGTTAGCGTTTTTAAAATGTTTTTTTGAGCATAATTCCAATATATAAAAGGCCCTACTGCTATTGGGAGCAAAACCTGATCCAGTAACTCAAATAAATGGTTAAAATCAGAAAATAAAGCGACTCGATCAAAGAAGGCTACTGAAATCGGATCCCTAGCTCTGTGTCTTAGGCAGAAAGCACCGCTATGCACTGAAACATGACATAACATTATTGGCTGTGTAATACTCCAAAACCGAAATTGCTAAAGAGAAAATCGAGTTGGGATGTGCTTCTCGCAGGCCTGTGACAGAATATCTACGGTGAAAAGCACACCAACATTAGCACAAACCGGAAATTGTATAAGTTTGTTTTGTTGTTGTGCGGCCAGGTAGACCATATGAATCCGCGACGAATACTTTAGTACTTTATATTTCGTAGTACTATAGCGTAACATAAGCACTCGAAAAAAAATTGAGCAACCTTTGCCTATAAATTTAACCAAATGCAGCGTTTCACGCATAGCTATGAAGCCCTGTTCTCCACACATTTTAACATAATTTTACCCACAGCAAATATGACGCCGCATAAGAAATAAAACCCCTCATCTGTACAGACGACGAAAATTTGTTACCGAACGTGACTTTCCCATACTAAACTCTTACACTGGTCAGGTTTAATGTCTGAGTCACAGCAGGGACCAGAAATTTGTGACGTCATTAGTAGAAAGCGCTATTGCATGCTGAGCACTTACTTTAAATACGCTAACCTGTTTAAGATTCCATTTTCCTGTTTGTCGGGGCTTTCCCTGCTGTCTCTAACCGTATTCTGAGTCATGTTATTTCTTATTAGGGGATAAAAAGGTCGTCAGACCGTGTTTCTAGACTTCGTAAACCTCAAAACTGACATAATTGCCGTGCGCCCTTTTCGTTCGCTGTGGAGCTCGATAGGCTGGACACGATTTTCCGAGTGACTCAATATTTTGGCACAACTTGTGCACAGATTAGGCACAGTTTAGGCACAACTTAGGCACGGCTTAGGCACGTTTTTCAAAACTAAAATGCACACTTTATGCACATCTTAGGCACATTCTAGGCACAAAATCTTTATGCCAAAGCACACTCTAGAATCCGATTTTCGGTCCAACGCACGGTTTACGAATTTTCACGTTAAAAAAATGCTGTCTAACCTTACATATTTGATCTTAGCGTAAAAATGGGTTTCCCGAATTCTTAACAGTTAGTCTATAAGGAAAATTTAAGTTATGAGCATTCCAAAAATTATTATTTCTTCTCTTAACAACAACAGAAAGTCAATGAAAAGCAATCTTTTAAATTGACGTTCGCGCTGCACAGAGATCGTATGTAGACAGAACATCTTTCTGAAAACGCCCTAAACTTTGTATTTTTGCCATTATGTTCAGTAATTTTTAATACAGTTAGTACTCATAAGTCACTGACCTCTTCGGAGAAATTTTTCCAAAGTACCATTAACAGAAACAGAGAAATCCCACAATATGCGTGGTTAGACTGTAAATGTTACGCGAGCTGTTAAAAAATGGTCCCATTTTGAGCCATATTTTTCATGTTTCAATTTTATTTTGGTCTTACAGCCAGGAAAAAAATATTCAACGAAAAGCTGTTTATAAACTTTAACTTCTTGCCAAATATCGATGCGATCTGAGTTTTAATAAGTTCATAAGAGCCAAACCATGTGAGATTCTTAGCCGTGTACACCAGTAGCGTGCGCCAGGCCTAATAGTATACTTTTAGTTCTCATAGCCAACAACATCACGTCTTAACTGACAGACGACCAATAACATCGCGACGTAATTGACCAATCAGATCAATAACCAGAGTATAATAAGATCAACTAACGTAATACAACTCACTTTGACTCTGAAGATGACTACCGCACAGGTTGTCGGAACGTCAGTCACTGTCAACAACAACAGTCCTATTCAGGACTACTTTCCACCCGGACGATCAAACTCAACCTACTTTTGAAATGACTCCTGGGTTCAAACCTTTCACAGTACACTTTTAGTCGAATTTTCAATCAACATCGCTTGTTACCAGAAAAAGGAACGATACCTGGATTTACGAGGATAAGAAAAAGCAAAGGACTTAAAAAATCGCTTAAAACAGTGGATTTATGCACCTATCAATGTAAAAGCCGGCGCGGCAGGGGCGGGCGGGGGGAGGGGGGGAGGCAGGGTTTGGGGTGGGGATTTGATTGTCTTTGTTGGCCCTGGGGTAGGGTATTTGACTGATCTTGTTCTCCCAGGGAGGGGATATTTGAATCTTTCTTCGCCCGACGTGGAGATATTTGACTGCCGACTCGGACGAAAAAAAGACTGAGACGGAACATCTGTTTCCTGTTTCCCACTTCCACGCTTCACGCATGCGCCGTACGGTTTGAAAAGATCAGGAAGTCGTGGAGGCCAATGAGAACAAGCGAAGGCTGAGTGAATTTCACTGTTTTGTCTTCAAATTTCGTTTGTTTTAGCGTGTTTTTGATCAATTGAACCTCTTAAAATACTGTGGTATCAAAGTAAACGAAAGTAAAGAGAAACCAAGTCGATTTTGCAAGTACAATTGATTAGTGTATGGCTCATTCGCTACAATCAGTGTAAACTTACGAAACTGACTTTTCAGGGGCACCCAAACTTAAACATAGAATTGTTAAACGTATTTTAGTATTTAAACGGTAGATATAGGCATATTTTTATCCCCTAAAAATTTTTCATCTGTTCGGATTTCCTACCTGAAAGTCAAGTGATCCGAAAATTATAGGGATCAAAACTTACCTTTTCGAAAGTTTTAGCCAGAAAAAAGGCTCCCGAAAATTCTAGGTGACCTTTTTAGGGTAAAAATCCGTTAAAAATAGGCAATTATACCATTTTTTAGATGTCCGAAAATCCTAGGAGAGGCAGGCAAGCAAGAAATTTTACAACAGATGTTCCGACAATTCTAGATCTCAAATCGTCTTCCGAACAGATATTTTTCCCGAAAATTGTCATTGACTTTTTTTGTACCCTTTACTGAGAACGGTATATTTAAACTTACAAAATGTGGACTTTCTCCTAAAGGTTTATGTATTCTACACAGTGTAACACTGATTATGGTTAAAACGTATGATTGCAGCTGTAACAGGAACATGTATCTTTGGTGATGCAGCAACGTTAAAAGATTGCAGAGTTTTATTTGGAGATATTTTTATTCTGCCTTTCTTGGGTTCTGCCTTGGGATTGACAGCAATGTGCAGCCTAGGGTGGGGGAATTTGGTTGCATTTGACTGGAATGATTTGCCCGTGGGCAGGGAATTTGTTTGCAAATTTTTGAAAAAAGTTAAATCTCCACCCTACGCTCTGCCTCCCTTCCCGCCGGAATTACATTAATAGGTGCATTATACCTGCTGAAGCTTGTGGATTGCAGGACGACGTGATTGTACTTTCACGGTTTGGCGTCGTCGACGACACCACGACGACGAAATTTACTGGTCGCGCTTGCGCAGTACACTGTAACTCACTTCTGGTCGTCGTCGACACAGTCGTTGTCGTGGTTCTTCAGTTCCCTAATACCAGCCCTTAGTGTCTACTGTAAAAGAAGCTTTCATGGAAAAGTGGAATCTCATACAAAAACAACCGCTACTTTGCTAATTTTTTTAAAGAACCCCCCCCTTTTTCCTAAAAGAAAGGAAAACCATGGCAAAGAACACGCTTGTTAGAGCCAAAATATTTAAGGTCAACACACGGTTTCACGTCGGTATAGATGTGCAACCTGTCAAACCTTGCAGTTTTTCACCAAAAATAATTTACGTATCCAAAAGGTTAGACTGGGCGTTTCCCTCTGTGTCCAATTAACCGCTCTTCATTAGTTTTTATGGTGCCCTGTAATCAACAGGGAAACCAACTTCGCATTTGCAATAAAGCTTTTGGTGAAATACACCATCATGTTGCATAATGATGTATAAGTTCAATCAAATGATGCATTTTTACAAGTTTTACATGTTTTATAGGGATCAAAGTCTTGAAACTGAGTGAAACACATAACAAATATTAATAATTAACGTGGATTTTTACTTATTAACTGAGATTAACCGACAACCGACAAAGATCGAAAATTTTAACAGACCACCGACAAAGTAACTAAATTTTAACCGACAACCGACAAGTGGACCCCCCCATTCAGACCCTCTTATAAGTGGTAACCGTACTGTTAAAAGGGGTGTGTATGAAGATAGTGACAATAATAATATGATCAAATCACTCTTTGTGTGTACTTAGACCAATATTATTTAAGACTAAATAAATATCATATCATATATGTGTATTAAAAAGTCTCTCTCCATTACCCAGCTATTTTAAGGGCGCGGCAAGGTAATTCGAGCTTGAGAAGTAACCTGCGTGGGAGGCGCAAAGGGGAGAGAGAGAGGGGGGAGAAAGGGGCGAAATTCAATCTCCCAAATCTCCTCCCTTTCTCCCTTAATCCCTAGCTATCCCCTACCCTTTCGACGCCAGCTACGCAGGATACTTGAGAAGTTGAAGTCGAAAGCAAGCACACAGGCAAAGGAGGCTTTCAATTTATACACATAGATTTGACGCTTAGAATTTGCGTAGCTGTGCCCACAGTATAATGTTAAATTCAGTTAATTTGCCGAAATACTCTTTAGTTCCCGCAAAAGAAAGCTCAGATGTTAATTATCAATTCTTACCTTACCTCCAAAACTTTTTAAAACTTAAGTATTGCTGGATGTCATAAAATTACAGATACTGGGGTTATCAGTATTGCAAAAAGTTGCAATAAGCTGCAGTATTTTGATATGTCATTCAGGGGAATGCAGATATGCTTTGGTAGATTGTGCTTGAAAAAAAAAGCATATTATGCTTTTAGCAGTGCTCATATTTTTTAGAAATTATGCTTCCTGTCATCGAAATTATGCTACTTAGATTTTACACTGATTTTAAGGAAAATAAAGATCATCAGTAGCTTAACTCTATCAATTTTGACTTTAATGAACATTCATATAGTCCACCTTCCGGTCTTTCAGTCTTTAGCATCGCAAATACGCATGTGCGCACCTCGAAAAGCCAAATGATTAACAAATGATACAAAAATCAACCGTTTCTGGGTTCTGAATCCGCGTCAGAAAGTTAAAGCCTGGATACTTGTTTTAGACGCTATCCAGGCAAAGCCCTCAGTTCAGTATAAAGACAACTATGCATGTTGTTAATCTCTGTGTTATCGGTTATTATACTGAAGCCTCACACAAGCCTATAAATAGTCCACGAGAGCATGGTCTTGTGAATCGTTGAACGATGAGTTAAGAATAGAGAATACTCGTTCAGCTGCTGCAGACGAGGGCCCTGGCACTAGAAGTGGTGGAAGTGGTGGAAGTGGATGTACTCGAGGACGACGCCAACTTTGATCTGAGGCTTGATCATGAGGGGCCGAGTCGCCGAGCCATAAGCGTGGTAGCCTGAGGAGAGTCTCAGTCTTTCAGGAGATGCACAGGGTGACCTCTGCCGCCTACCATATTTTACCATGGGCCTTAGCACAGACCTCAATATTTTCCAAAAACAATACAGAAATAAAATACAAACTGAATTATTCTAGAGCTATGATGGGTTTTTTTGTTTTCAACGCATAAAAGCGCGGATTATGCTAGCAGTGCTAAACTGAAATAAAAGCTTAAAATAATGCTCGTTTTGCTGAATTGTGCTTAACATTATGCTAGCACAATCTACCAAAGCCTAAATGCAGACATCTGCTCATATTACCAGTGAATCTATGAGTGCTCTTGGATCAAATTGTTTAAGCTGGGCTTATTTAGATGTCATAGGATGCCTAAATATCAGCGAGCCTTCCATTTACTCCATTATAGGATCATGCAGGTACCTAAAACAATTCAATGTCACTCAATGTGTTGATAAACAAGATTCACAGCTACAGCTGCGCATAAGTAAATTTATCTTGCAGCATCGATCTTCTTACAGTTGTGAGGAAATGATCTCATATTCACAAGGAAGAAAATCAGCACAAAAATTACTTTTCAAGATTGCAGCTCCTAATTTGTAACCTGTTGAGACGGCATCACGTTAAATTATTCAATATTATATGTCATTTCATATTATATAACTTAATTTACATAACAATCCTGGCCAATGCTAGTTCGTCTTTGTGTGGCCAGCATCTGTTTTCTTAGAAATTTCAGAACAGCAGTGCCACAAACGATCAAAAAGAAGGTTTTATTCCTTTATTTACCTCGTAAAGTCTAAGAGTCAAAAATGAATATAAAGGACTGTTTAAAAAAGCAAAACCCAAAAATGTAATAATTAATAATAATAAACAGCAGATTATTACCCAAAATGTGAACTAATAAATTTATGAATAGCTTCATTAAAATTCCCAAACAGCCAATGCTAGTTGTCTTGGCAGTCTGATTCATTCCTGTTTGGATCTTGGAAAAAATGAAAACTTAAAAAAATTAAACTTATAACTTATAAGTATGCCTTGATGAGCTTGTAGAAGAATATGCAACTAGGTGGAGTTCCGCATTATCTCCGTTGACTAAGACATTTCTGAACTCGTAAAGCACAGACAGGCAAGCAATTGTTCTGCAAGATTGCAATGTCTTCCAGTCCAATGCCACTAAGCATATCAGACAAACTGTCCTAACGATTGTAACGTGACTGCACCCAACGAGCTGCTGTCCTCTGAACCATTTCAATTAACCTGTACAATGTTCTTGCCTGTATAACATTCCCATGCTGATGAGGAGTATTCAACTGTAGGCCGTGCAAGAGCTTTGCATGCCTTCTCCTTCACGTATGAGGAGCACTGTTTCAGATTTCGCTTTAGGAATCCCAACGTCTTATTTTCTTTGTTTGTGATATTTGTCATATAATTTTTCCACCTAAGATCTTTTGAAAGATATACTCCAAGATACTTGGTAGTATCTACTGCCTCCAGGCAGCAGCCGTGGAGTGTGTAATTGAAAACAAAGGGCTCAAGTCGCCTCTAATTCTTAGGAGCTTTTATTTGGCAATATTGAATTCCATTTCCAGTTTTTCTCCCATATTTCCTAATTACGTAAAACTTTCTGCAGTTGAACAGTCATCCAAGGATTTTACGACAAGATCATCAGCAAAACGAGGCTCTTGAAAAGTCCATGACGATCACATAATGTCTGCCCACCATTCTGCACATCCTTAGCAAAATCATTTATGAAACCTATCAGCTGAGTCTCACAAGAGTTGAGTTGTCGGAAAGAATGCTGAAAATTGTTTAGAATATGATGACTCTCAAGGTGGCGAACAATGTTTGAAACTAACATGTTCCGTAATATTGCTGCAGATGCTTGTTGAGGAAACTGGCCTAGACTCTTTTATGTAGGTTATTGTCACATAACCCTGCTTTCAATCAGACGGTACAGTGTCACCACAAGGTAGGGGAGCTCGGAAAATGCCACAAAAAGCTGGAGCAATCACAGAGTTTACTTCTTTTAACACACGTAGATGGGGACCGTCTGGGCCAACGTTGTGGATTGGCGCCATGAGTGGATGACAACGCTGGCTGGACATCTGCTGATTTAATGCTGCCTCTGCAATGTGTGAAAGCTTCATTGGACCAGTTTGGGAGAAAAACTCTTGAATTGTTTATATGACAATTCTACTTTGCAGATGGGTCAGTGAACACTAAGTCTCCTGATTTCAGAGAAGTAATATGGCAGTTTTGTCACTGAGTAGGTACGTTTGGACCAGAAGCATTTACTGCAACTAGGCCTATGCTGCTGCAGCTGATTACCATCATCATCTGATTCCTCAAAAATGTTGCTCACGTAATCACGTAATTTTTTGGACTTCTTTCTTCCAGGACTTTTGATGTTTAATATCTTACCGAAGGATCGTGCGTTTTAGTAGTGCTATCCTCTACCTGGTAGAAGTAGTACCTAACTGAAGCGCTGCTGTTCGTGTCGATCTCTCGGCTTCTGCGGTATTTGATTCATAATGTTGTGGGTTTATCCGGTTGAAGAACCTTCGCTCACAGCAAAACATTTTTTTGAATTCACTTTTAAAGATAGGATTCATCCCAGCGTATATAAAAGGATTTATTGTATTTGACAGATAAACAAAGAAACTAGAAAGGAGTTCAATATTTCGTGGCATCTTCTCAACGACATGGAAGCGCCTTACAGCAACGATCACCCATAATGGGATCCAGCATACCATGAACGCGAACACAACCACAAAGAGAGACTTACTCAGCTTCAGTTCTTGCACGGTGATGCTTGAGCCCGTTGCGCCCCTGTGAATCGTAGATGACATAGCCCCATTGTGCTGTCGAATCATCTTTGCAACCTTTATGTAGCTAAATACTGTCGTTATTAACGGTGTTAAGAAGAACAAACTGATGACAATAGTATAGTGAATGATTTTTCCACTTTCACTGAGATGAACTACATCGCAAAGGGCATATCCTGGAATGAACGCATAATCTTGGAGACCAGCTAACTTAGGAACTGTAACGTAGCAGGCAATGAAGAACCATGCAGATGCCAGCCAGGCTCGTGACTTCCTCGGTGAAAAAAGTTTCTTGTATTGCTGCTCAGACTTACAAATCCTCATATACCTGTCAAACGCTGTTAAACCCATAGTGACGGTTGAAGCGTACAGAACAAATGCAATAAAAAGGTTTGACAGTCGCAGATCACTCGGCCATAAACCCATTCGCCTGTTATAAGCACACCCAATGCAAAAGGCATGACAAATACAGCGGACATCAAATCACTTACAGCAAGTGCGATGATATACAGGCTTGTTGTTCTGCGTAGTCGTGTGTTCTTGTAAACTGCAATGCACACCATTATGTTCCCGGTTAACGATAGAAAGTTTAAGATCACAAGAAAGAAGACTTCCACGCTTGTTAAAAAGAAACTGCGATTGCCCAGAGCGTCCGCCATTGTGGCTGTTCTCACAGAGATTTTCTAAGAAAAGAAGAAAACCGTAGAAAGCAACACAGAGTCGGTTGTGGCTTTAAGATCACGAGCGGTTAAATTGTCTATCTGCTGGTTTATTAGTTACCCTTTGTCTACGACACTTAAACTAAACA